CCCGCCCGCCTGCCATCTTCGGCAAACCGGTGGAGGTGAGAGCGGGGCTGAGGGCAGTGGGGCGGGGTGGCAGGGTCAGGGGCGGTGGGAGCAGGGCAGCGGTAACTGATGGTGCCTGTGCCGGTAGTTCATGAACGTGACGGTGCGGAGCGGGCTGCCTATGGTGCTGTTGGGCTCGGCCGAGCCCTGTGCCCAGCTGCATGTCTCCTCTGTCAGCATGGTGGACTCGGCGGAGCAGAACCGGGGGCACAGCGCCCGCTTCTTCGACTTCCTGACGGCGCAGCTGGGCCTCGGCCCCGAGCGGTGAGTGCCGGCCCGGCCGGGGGGGCTCTGCCTTGGCACCTCCTTCGCCCTGAGCAGGCGAGGACAACAGGCTGACCCCTGGGGCAGGGACAGCGGGGGCACCTCTTCTGTTGGGCTCATGTGGTGTGTGAAACACAGCAAGCAAAAGTACAGGAAGGGGGTCAAAGGGATGATGAGCAAAAGTACAGGATGATGATGATGATGATGATGATGATGTAGGTTCCCATGTCCTCCAGGAGATTAAGGTCTCATAAAAGTCTGAGACCACATCACAAACATTAAGTGCTCTTGGATGCTGAATCCCAGACATGTGGTTTAGGTCCAGATAAAACCACACTCATCGAACCATCTGGGAACGATTGTTCTTGAAGATGAGTGGTTCCAGTCAGTGTAACTGGTGCAAACCCCAGTGTGCACTGGTAGAGCTTTGCAGTGGGGTCACCATGGTAAATGCTGGAACAAGGCCGTTCCTGAAGGTAAGCCATGTCCCTCTCTGCACCTCCTTCTTGGCTGCACAAGGAGAGCAGTAGCATTTCCCTGCCTCTTGGGTGCTGTCGGGTAAACACCTGACAAGACGATGGGCTGCTTGTGTCCTTCTGAAATGGACAAGTATCTCACAGAAACAGCGTTGAAATTGAGTCTGCTTTTGGGTTTGTGTGGATGGAGTCTGGCACTTGTTTGTCCCCTGCCCGTACACAGCTTATTTTGCTTCTGTTAAATTAATGCTGTGAAGTGTGAGCCAGCGAGAGCTTAGTGACGATTTTTTACCTTGTTGCAAACTGGGCAGGGATAGTATGTAATCGTAAAATAATAATGTTTCCTGTCCACTGCATTTTTGCTCTGATACCCAAAAAGGATTCTCATCCGCTTTTACCCAATGGAAACCTGGCAGATCGGCAAGGACAGAACAGTTGTGACATTTCTCTGATCCCTTCAGTGGTGAGTTGGAACAGCAATGATGAAGACAACCCAGAGACGACCAGCTCTGTCTACTTGTTTCCTCTTCTGATCAAACCTGTGTAGCTCTACACCTTCACCTGTATGATTCACTTTTGTGTTTTAATCGTGTGCACAGAAAATTCCAGAGTGGGGCAATCAGCTGTACTGATTTTACTACAATAGTTCAAGGTCTTTGTCACAAGCCTGTCTCGTAGCCTAAGGGCTCTCCTGGTGCCTGTGCCTAAGCCCTTGCAGTCTGGTGATGGCCATATGTGCACCTAGAAAAAGCTCTCTGGTAGCAGCAAAAAGTTTAATTCCAGAACACATTTGGCTTTATTGAGGAGCAGAGGGGTTCTGGGGTTCACGCAGATTTCTTTACACTTTGCAAGGCAGAAGGATCCTTCTTCCTTTTTCTCTGTGGCAACAGGAGGGTCCCAGGTTAGCTAAGACCAGGGAGCCAAGTTCTTCTCTTTTCAGGACTTGTATGCTCCCTCACTTTATAACTGGAATACACATGGCATTTTACTAAAACAAAAGCACGTACTTTTTACGTATAATGTTATCTCTGCCTTCCATTGATGATGAAAACATACATCAGTTTCCTTTGCAATTTGTGGCTTGCTCAGGTTGCAGACAGGGAGCTTAGAGGAGCTGAGAGCGTGTCCTTGGGACACAGATCCATGGGAGCACAAGGCTGAAGGGTGCTTCTGGGTTCTTTCGTAATTCTGATTGGAGTTTTATTAGTTTATGACTTGAGGTCTCAAGATAGTTGAAAATTGCCGTTTGAAGTTGGTTGTTCTCTGTGCAGCATAAACATCTTCTAAGTTTGCAAAATCTGTCAGGAATATAATACCAAACACAAATGCATGTACCAGGCTAGGGGTGCTACACCTTATCTGATTAATAAAATGTATCAAAGCCTCTTTTGGTAAGTGTCATTTTACTGGTGTACAGCATTGGGGTTTTGTAGGTCTTGGGGCTCAGAGACAGGTATCATGGCTGCCCAGGTCTCTGCACTTTCTCAGGAGGTCTCTTCAACTAGAAGTTTTTGAAGCTCAGGTAAGGAACAGGTAGACGAACTGAGTATGAGACACCGGTGTAACTCGGGAGAACTGTTGCAGAGAAGAGGGTGGACAGCCCTGGCTTTGCAAAGGCCTTGACCAACTTGAGGTGAATATTCCGAAATGCGGAAAGTAATATTGCTTTAATTCTAATCTGCAGACAGCTTATTTCCTGGAGGTCCTCCTACCCGTGAAGGACCAAGCACAGAGTCTTGCCAAAGCCTTTGTTTGCTTTAGAGGAACCCTGCTCCACCCTGTGCCCCAGCCCTCCTTTTTCAGGCCGTGTTGGCCACTGTTAGGTACTGCTGCAGGAGTTGCACAGGACCTTCCCCTCACCCTCAGCTGCTCCCTGTGTGGGCTCTTGCCTGAGAGTGACTTTCCCAGCATTGCAGGGCTGAGCAGGAAGAGATAAGAAAGGAGAGAGAAGTCTTGGAAAAGAGTGTGCCATGCGAAGATGTCCGAATAAAATCGGTCATCAGTGTGACTTTCCCACTCACTTCCATGTTGACTCTGCCTTCTGCCGTTATCTGACAAGGCGTCCTAGAATAATGCGAAATCACAGCGAAATCGCTGAGTCACGGACCATCTGGAGAATTTTACAGTTCATGGACTTTGAGCTTTTTTTATAAGAGCAGTTGAAATATTAATCAAAGGATCATTTGGTTGTACTTTTTTTGGTGCTGGGATCTGTCAGCACACAATGAGATTCTGGGAGTCCTATGAGCTTGCGGCTGGCTGTTTTCCTTAACAAACTGCTGGTGCTGGATATGCTTTTTATATTCATGTTGATGTGAACAGATGGCCTATTTTTCCTCCACTGAGCTAATGTTAGAGTAGGTTCGTACAATATTTTAGGGCTCAAAATGGATACCCTGCCAAAGGGCTACGCAGCGTCCTGAAACCCACCCTAGAACACACAGAGAGAAATCAACAGAAGCAGGAAACATTTCCTCACATCTCTGTGGCTTATGTTTCCTAGTTGGAGAAAATCAGATGCACCAGCCTCATCTAGGACTCAGCAATAATGTTATAAAATCCCTTTCCCTTGAATGCTATGTGCAGATTGTCCCCCTTCCATGCGATGGAGCCTGCCTGACATCTGGTTTTAGTGTCTCCCAGCTACGGTAGATCTTTCTACCGTTGTACTAACTCTGTAACTTCGCAGGCTTAACCTCCTACAGTTGACTAACATTTCTGCTCCCAGACGTGGCCTCTGTTGGTTTGCTCCAGCACTCTGCCTGGGCAGGTTTGCAAATTCAAAGGTAAGGACCTGATTTTGAACACAACGTAACCATTTCCTAGCTTCAAACCTTTGAAGCAAGGACAGTCTTCCTGTGAATTTGCAGGAGAGAACCACTGGGGCCCTGAGCACTCTGAAGGGCACTACTGACAGAACTACAGAATTGTGATGGCATTGGGAGTTATTCTCCAAGCACAACAGTGTGACGCTGCTGTTCACAGCACTCCTGTTCTTAGTTTGTTGTGATGGAAAAGACAGGTGTCTCTCTCAAACAGGACCCCGGAGTTCACACCTTGAATCATAGAACGGTTTGGGTTGGAAGGGACCTCAAAGATCATCCAGTTCCAACCCCCCTGCCATGGGCAGGGAAACCCTCCACTACACCAGGTTGCCCAAA